AATTGACAGAATTATCAAGACCCCTTTCCCCTTCCCTAAAAACCGCAAATGTGTCAGTTGAATTTAGAAAATGATTTAAAATTATTGAAAGGCACCTAACCGTATACTCGAAGTATACGGTTAGGTTGGTTTGGTCGCACATTGCCAAGTGGGTTCTGAGAACCACATTATCATTATATTTTATTTATTTAATATTTAATACTATATACATTGAACGTGTAGCAGTCCTCATTATTATTATTTCTTTACTATAACAGTTTAGTTACCATAAGAGGTAATTATTATGTGTTTATTTTGTGACAATTACCTATAATAAATTTTACCAAATGGTGCATAGTAGTTACGTAAAAGTGGTTTTAGCGCATTATTTTTTCATTAATATAACGATGACTTTAAATATGATTTGGAGCTTATTTTGTGACAGTTACCTATTATCAATTTTACTACACTGTACCTACATGATAATTACCAAAAAATGTCTGTACACTTTCAATTGTGGTAATTCGAGGCATAGTAAAACTTGTCATACAGCGCCGGAACGTATCACGTTTGATGAATAAAAATGTTGTAATGTGTCCGTAAGTAAAAGCGCCCAATTATTATACATGAGATTTTGGATACGCAACCTGACAAGAACTAATATGACAATTTCCGAATAGAACTAGAACTAGATATTAGGATATATTATTTGGACACCAAGGACACACTCGTTCGGAAAACAAAACATCGTGAGTAAACCCGGACTTTAAATTCGACCTTCTCGGTGACAGAAAAGTCTCTTAATTTTTTATGACATACTTAAAACAAAAAAAAAAAAAAAAATTAAATATTTTCCTTTTCAATGAAAACACACTGTTTGTTACGCGTAATCTAACAGAGTTGCGTGATTCAAAAGATAAGACTGTAATTGTAGAGTTTTTTTTATAAATAAATAAATACTATACAGTAATTCTTGCGTGTCACTGTACCTAGGCGTTACACTAAATTAGCACCAACTGAATAATAGACAATAAACTACCTACCTAGTGTTTAAAAAATTATTGTCGATCGTATCTTTATTTAAAATATTGTTTTCTATTTATAAATAATAATATGTTTTACGTTTCTTTTTTAAAATACAGCTTATTAAATAGACATACATATTTATAAATGTTGTAGGTATTTAATGATAGTTATTTTTATGAGAAAGTTTATTAAATAATTAACTAACTCGTTGAAGGTAATTTTTTTTTGTTATTACTGTTTGAAACTTACATAGGTAAGTATGTACTTCTTTATAGTAAGATTGTTTTTTTTTATTTTAACAACACTACTATTTAAGAAAGATGATTAATTAAAAGTAAAAATATTTATGAAGTTGAGTATAAGTTGAGGATCAAATGTGACTCAAACAGCGCAATAATGTATCGAGGGCCCGGAATGGCGCAGGAAAAGGACTGAGGTGGTTGTTAGTCAGTATACTGACGACTAAGCGGCACGATGTGCGGTTCGTCATACATTGCTCGTGATGTTCATAATGTTTGTGTTTGCACGGCCGTTGACACGACTTTACGCAGTAATGTACGACAAACGAAGTACGCCGCGCAACGCCTCGCGTGTACGTAAACGAGACCCACCCAGTGCAGGAAAAGATATTTTAATGACTTAAAAAAAACATCATAAGGTAATTTTACCTTCAAAATTCTAAGAAGAAATTTAGAAAGGTTTAACGTCAATAATTAAATTAATAAACTTCACAGTTACGAATATTCGTACTTAGAAATCTATTTATAATTATTGTGTATCTACGTACTTAGTATCACTGGGATGTGGTCTAATGAAGGATCGATATTCTCAGTTCATTAGCTTAATAGGTAAACTAATTAGCTTATATTAGTGGAAATACTAACACGTAACAACAAGACATTAATAATGAATGGGTTAGTAATGAGCTATGTGGTGATGGGAGAGACAATTATATTTTGTTTTTGTAACGCTATTCTTCGCGCGTGTAACTTAACAGCCGATTAAGACAATGACATTAAAAATATGGGATGTGTGATCTCTAATATGAGCTCGTTTCGGGCCCTAAACAACTCTTTGGGTGATCCATATATTTTTAGTGCGGCTCTCGGTGTCATATGATAAAATCTTAGTATAGATCAACGATTTTTATAGGGAAAAAAAAACTTCTTATAAAATTGGATTTATTAAGAAAATTTGAAAACGATTGAAACGTAAAACTTTTATAAAGAAGCTAGCTTCTAGCTTCTCTATTCTGTGCTTATGTATGTATCTTAAAAATTCATTTAGGTAGTATTTTTTACACGAAAGCGTATACTCACTAACTTTCGCGTTGATAACGTTAGTAGTAAAATAGCCCTTAAGATAAAATAACTAGAAATTAAAATACCTATTCACCTTTAAACTTTTTTTTATGGCAACTGAACCTTTAAACTTACTTTACTTACTTGGGTCTGGGTGTCATGTGTATGTGACATTGTATGTTTGTAAATGTACCCACAACACAGGAGAAAATACTAAAGTGGGGCAACGTTTAAAAAAACAAAAAAAAACAAATATTACAGTTGATTACGTCAATGCGTTATGAATAAAAATAAAAATTCATTAATGATACCGTTTCAGCTTACGGTTACTTAAACTTTGTAATTATTCGAGGTTATCAGTGTAATAATAATAATATAAAATGTTATTACAAACCGTTCAAGGCAGCTGATGTAATGATTATAATTTTTTCGCTAATTTAATTTTAGTTTAGTTATATTGAGATTTTGTTGTTTGAATTGTTCGGTTGTTGGTAACATGATGTTATTATACGACTTAGCGCCTATTACGCCATATACATATTATATTCATATAAGTTCCCGAACCTATGTGACACATATTTTATGCAATTGGTTGGCTTTTTCAATATTGTTAAAAGGCCATAAATAGCACGTTATAAAAAATAAGTATCAAAATTTCAATAAAATGTAAACAGTAAGTAGGTACACTTTACACTGAATTCGATTCCAAAATCTATGTAAAATATTAAAAAAATAGAATTCAAAATATTATAAGAAGTTGTATCTTTCCACCTATCGTTATTAACGTCATTTGGTGACACCTGCCTGCGTTAAAATTGTACAGTACCCATCTTTTCTTTGGTAATACTAAAAGCAATAAGATAAGTCGTAGAAAAACTGAAGTCTTAATTAGAAAAACGTTACAGTTACCTACTACTGTATGTTGGCTAGCTCATAACTGGCTAATGTATAAAAACTACCTATAACGAATACTTCTAACTAGGTACTTACTTTGTATACATAAGCTGTGAGCCTACCTTATAAATATATATAAATCCAAATCCAAACTAATATTATAAATGCGAAAGTAACTCTGTCTGTCTGTCTTTTCTTCACACCTAAACTACTGAACCTATTTGTGTGAAATTTGGTACAGAGATAGTTTTAAAAACTCGAGACAGGACATAGGATAGTTTTTATACCAAAAATCTGCAGGAAGCAACTATGCCGCTCGAACAAAATCGCGGGCAAAATCTAGCATAAATACCTACTCTTATAAGCATGGTTGTATATTAATGACCAAAAGTGATGTCAAAAGTATTTTGATTCATTCATATAAACAGCCAAATAAGTCAAATTAAGTCAAAGATTGTATTTAATTGGTACAAACGGTTCTGAGGCGCTTTATTTAGAAAATACTGAGGAAAATTTTATCTTATGTCCACCATTTTACGTCTACGCGTCTAGTTTTTATGTCCTGTTACTGCACACATACAGCGTGTTTACAAACCCAGTCTGACTAACACGACGCCAACTATTAAAAGAAAGGTTAAACAATATATTATATAAGTGGTATTTTTTACATTCATAAACAAGGATTAATTTGCCAAAGGTATAATTTAAAATATTTGAGATATAAATGACAAGATTGTGAAATCGTTTTGTCTTCGAACAGCACAATACCAGTGATCCAAATGTTTTAATATTATTTATTTATTTATTGATCAAACAGGTATACTAAATTACCTAAGTCTTAAAAAAAAGTCCGACAAAACTATTCTTACACACAGTTTGTCTGTCTTACCTACTTTGTAAAAAAACTATGCTGATTGTGTCTTTTCTAAACACATAAGACCGGGTCTTGATAACATGCTGTAGCTACATGTAGTTATAAGAGTGCCCACTAGGCAGGAAAAGTCGCTGGAGTCACGGCAGCTGCTTTTCCGCTTTCTCGAGCGCTTAGGGAAAGTCCACTCGAGTCGAGCACACCAGTATCACAACACTATGAATATGATGTTTATTTCTGAATATTATGAGAGACTGCTGTTTACCGTATCTCACCGGATACATGGTTTCAAGAAGGATGTTCGTAAATTAGATGAAAGGAAAACGTCGATTTCGAAAATTTGTGTTTGGTGAAATCAATATTGAAGTGGTTGTTTGTCGTCCTGAACTTTAGAACTCTTTGATTTTATAAGTTTTGAAAAATAAAGTAATTTAATTTGCAGCAAAAGTGCATTCGTTTTAATGAAGTAAATAAATAAACTTACAATAAATTATTTAATTATTAGACTTTGCTTTAATTTCTTAAAAATGAACTCTAATCACGATCCAGTATTGATTTAGGTTACGATTGGTCAGTAAACCGAACTGCTGAAATATAATTTGTCAGAAATTTAATAATATTATAAATTTAAAGGTAAAAAATAGAGACGATCATAATAACAAAAATTGTACAAGTTTAGTGACATCTACCGTATAATAACATAAGCTTTGACTAGGTAGAGTGTGAGCGCCATCTATTAGTTGTAACGGGAAACTACTTACACCCGACGGTATTAGCTAGTTGCCGCTAGATGGCAGTGAACGTCCCGTGGCACATCTACTCGACACTAGATGGCGACTCATCCCACAAAATTAATCTGGTTGCTATTATAATTCCGAGAACCAGTTTTGCTAATAACACTTTATAAAATACCTAATTATTTGACGTACCTTCCATAACATATACGATGCTGCCAACATCTCCTTCTTTGATAATGAGGCTGCCAGCTGCATATTCGACGGGATACATGCAATCCACGATCTCGCGAATCTGTGTCATTTCAAGATTCTTCATGAAGTCATTGTCCAGTATTGCACTCTTGATCAGCTCCCGGGATCTGTAAAAAAGAAATAAGTAATGTAAGTCACATGAGATAAGTTTTTTTTTTGTGAGGGGAAAATCATCGAATGACTTCCCGCCCAGGGCCGTGCGGGAGGGACTGTCAGACTCTTACTGACTAAAAACCCCCCTGTTCCTTCTCATGCTCTGGGCCGAGGTCGCGGTGACATGAGATAAGTTACTTAAAGGTACGTAAGTACGTATAATTTTATTTTCTTCAATTCTAATCCATATGTCGAAAATTCTTTAATAATAAAATGCGACGCAAGAAAACTTTATTTACTTTCCAACCTATAAACTTAATTTACAATGCAATAGACGTTGAAGGAGAAAAAGATCGAGAATCATTTTTAATACTATGACTATTAATAGCATTGCGAGCAATAAATTTGTTATTTCCTTCTTTTTTAACCTATGTGCAGACTCCAGTAATAAAAAGAAAAACCTAGAATCTTAATGTATCGCAATTTCTACCTAAGCGCTGATTTTTCAATGGTTAGATAAAACTTACCTGGGGAATAATTATGATGCTGTCGCGTCAGAATGTTTGTAAAAGACAGTGACAGCAACAATTTTATTCTTCAGATAACATTTATCTGACTATTGAAAATTCAGCTCTAAACATAACAATACCGGGTATACTATCGGTCCATTCTTTACCAATTAGAAAGCGTAAGTAATTATTTCTATAAAATATCTTAATTAATTTGTACAATATTCATCAGCCAGATTAATACAAGCTTAGCATAAATACACTCCAATAAATTAATTTATAACTTGTAGCCATAATTTGAGTACTATAAAACTTGTAATTCTTAATTAATATAAGTGATGTTTTAATTAATAACGATCAATTACTTTAGACCAGTTTTTCGACAGGTGTTGACGTCTAGGATTAAGGGTATGGTCTAATAGGGGTGGCGGTCAAGCGCAGTTATAGACGGAACGGGGTAGTTTTTATTGAGTAGGTAAGAGTCTGACAGTCCCGCTTGACCCTCCTAGGGACTTGAGAAAAAGTTATTTGATGATTATATCCCTAAAGCAAGACAGTTTAACACTTTTTCTAACTTAGTTGTTAGATGTTTACTACCTATTTATAGACAAGTGACAATCGCTCCGTAGTATATATTCATATGTTACAGTTGTGTTGTTGGCTGTTTTTGTACTTCTTGGTCAATTTCACTTAATATTAAATTTTTTTTTTTTTTTGGCTAAGGGAAAATCACCTAATTGTTGCTCCCGCCCAGGGCTTTCAGACCTTGCTGACTAAAAACCCCCCGTTCCTTCTCCTGCTTTGGGCCGAGGCCGCGGTGACTCATTGCGCAGGGCATATTTACTACAATATACGAATAAACGAAACATTTATAAGCAATCTTCACCTAAAATCTCCGTATTGCCATGATACTTATTTACCTCTCTTTCTATAATTATATTGTGTTTTAATGTGTATTGTGTATAAATAATAAGTAATAAATGAATGCCTAAGTAAGCGAAAAAGCAGAAATAATAAGTCGGATTTACCGACTTAAAAATTTCGAATATCTCATTTTCGTCCTCTACCAGTTTAATAGATATTTAACTTAAGGAAATAACAATACCTACTTACGTAGATATTTTCATGGCATAAAAACATATTTTCATAAATACTTCCTCTCCTACATCCAAGGTGATTTCGATAAATGCCCTATTACTTTAATAATAGCTCCTAACCTAACCTTAATATTATTATGCAAAATTAGTGTCATAAACCATAGCTTAGACCTGTCTATGATAAAAATAATACTACAACTATAGGAAGGAAGGACTTTTAGTGTATTATCATTATAATTTATGGCCGGTTATAAAGTCATAAGTAATTATTTTAAACTTCCACGGTAATTTAAAAATATCCTTTGATCTAATCTATAGGTACTTAGATATGATACAATTTGAACTGCTAATGTCTATTCATAATATAATTTATATAAGAACCAAGTAGGTACAACAAAAAGAGTCCTTATTGGAGCTTTAACAGAAGCCAAAACAACTTTCTAAATTGGACTTGACTTGTGTGTTTTTAAAGGGATGCAAACATAAGGAATCGGCGCCACCCATGGACACGCAATCAACACCTTAGTAGTTTTAAGTGCGTGTCTTTTAGAAATGGATGCTTTTAAGGATGCTAGTGGAACTAATGCAAAAACAACTACGTATTCATAATCAAATTACTAGGTATCTGGTATTTCCAGAAAGTGGAACGTGTTCGAACAAAACATATTGTGTCATTTTATTATTACCTACTTTTTGGTTCCTTTCTTTCCTTTTACCCATTTTTATATAATAATAATGACTTATACATCCAGAAAAACATCATAATTCATTAATTTGTTTTTGTTATAAATTATTAAGTATTTTTTTCCAACAGAATGACTGTCTGATGTTCTCACAAATTTTCCTTATATTCCTATAAAGGCAAAGCTTACAAATATTGCCATCGTCACGCACGACCTATACACGTACAATGTGTACGCTAACAGAATTTCTACAAAAACTTCATATCGCCAAGTAGCAAGCGCTTACAGAAAAGTCTTAAAACAAAATTTTACGATTTACAGGAAATCTAAGTATAGGAAATACTGATGCAATGCTTTCATCCACTCAGAATACATCAACAGCTCATTTATGGACGAACATACTTCAGAATAGCACCAGATTACCCAAATTCTAAATGTGCGCTCGTAAATTTTAGTCACAAAAGATCCAATCTTTGCGGAGCCGTCGGCGAGGACAGGTGTCACATAAAGTTCGAACGTAATTATACCAAATGGGATCAACGAAGGCACTCGAGCTAACACACGTCGACCTTGCCACGGTGCCTTGCGATGCCTGTACTGAGAAGAAATTCAATCACTACCTTGAGTGATTGATGACGGTAAGTATCGATATGTCGACGAAATAATCGGCCGACAAATCATTTTGAATCGTTTGTAGGTCGTCCCTTAATAGTGGATATTCAGCTTTTAAAACTTCCGTGTACTTGTCCTTAAAGGCGGTCACTGTAGAAGTATTCACACTTTTAAAAGGTAAAATAGGTGCCATAAAACATAAACACGAAAATTTAAAAGCACACTCAGATATACAAACCCGTAAAAAGACTGGGTAAGGTTACAAAGTCATGGTCGAATAAGACAAATCAGATTTGTCGACAGAAAACGTGAGAGCATGTTAGGATGAAGAAACATTGATGTTAAGACACACGTTAAGTACATATTCGTGACTAATAAACCTACTTAAATTAAAATGGCAAATAATCCATTTACAAAAGAAAACGTGAATGCGATTAGCATTCATGAAATAACAATGTTAGGCAATTAACATTAAGTAACATTATACCAATTTGATTCTCTTCTTTAAAATGTAAACATTTGAATGCTTTAGAATAAGGAATTTCTATAAAAGCGGTTTTAATTTTATACAATGGCAACTTTGATTTTTAATATTGATATCAAATAGTAGCTATATTATTTCAATAAAAACAGGTACTATAATAATAAAGGAATCACCTAGATTCGACGACGAACACACTGATGGACTATTATTTTATTTTAACGTTTCAAAAGTACCTTGTTTATCGTTTAGTTGAAATTAATAATAATTTTCAGGGGGTTTTGACTTTGACTTTGATGCAAGTACCCTATACTTAAAAAATAATTTTCAAAGGTTGCATTTGCAACCACAAACTACGAAAAAACAAAAATATACCGAGAACATGTTTCCATTAATTTATCTTTTAATTTCGTTTAAAAACATATAATATAATTTAGTTTTTGGTTGTAAAATATACTTACTTTTGAACTTTCGGTATTTTCACTAATTTCATTTCATATCCTTGGGATAAAGATGACAATGGCTCTGCGGAAATGGCAGTTCTCTTCAGCCTGGGTTCACCAACGTGGTAAACTCTAGTATTCTCGATACCTGGTGTCTTCATAACGAAGCAGTCTTCCTCACTCTCTAAGCCATTTCTGCGATTATCTATAAGTTGCCTTGTCAATGGTTTCACGACCTGTCGAAACTTGTCAATTTCATTTTTCAGGTATCTTATCGTTCCGTCTTTTTCATCGATCTCATGTTCCAGCAATGCAATTATTTTGTCTCTCCGTTTCAATTCTTCCGTCTTCTCTAACACCATTCGCTTCATTTCCAAATACTTCTTCTCCAGTTTGTAATTGTGATCCATTTGACATTGTTTTGTATGTGTTTGCGCCATTTTTGACAATGTTTTTATCACTGTACCACTTGACACTTTATATTGTTACTTAACAGAATTCCACATCGTTCATTAAATGCTTCAAGTTTCCTATCGCTACACTTATATGAAGTCGAGGGACCGCGTTTGTTGACGTATTATCAACACCTATATCATTGGAAAGATAAAACATTTATGCATTATTTGATTGATGTGTGACTTGCTTAAACCCGTAGCTGTCACTTATTAGAAAATATTTTGGCTAGCCAGTGATAATTCTAACATTATTAATACTACATTAATAACGTATATGTCATCGGTTGCCATATACATTGTATTGAGGACCGACGACGACTGATTGTTCCCAAGTATGTCAGTTTGCTGGTGAGTCAACTCCTCAATGACTTTGCCACATAGTATATTAAAATTTATTTTAGTATGTGCATGCCGCCCCGCAGGCAGACTTAGTAATTGGTTTTCATTTAACTTGATTAATGGTACAGATTAATAAAACATAGTTCAATAATAAAGACCAAGTAGGTACCTACAATACACAGCCTCCAGCGAGGACATGTCGTTAAAAATATCAATAGAATTTTTTTTTATGCATTCATAGATACCTACTACATATCAACGAAATTTTGTAGTTACATAAAGAAACCACTTTTACTAATTAATAACTTTCTTGACAATAAATTTCAAGCAGAAGCTAAGAATAAATTACTATATAACCAGGTCATAGAACATCGGCTTTAAGGAATACTTAAATG